TGGTGCCTTCTGTGGTGACGTCGTCCCAGTGCTCCGCCCTTCGCCGTTTGATGGCAAAGATCTGTAGCATGTGCTGGCGAGCATGGCCGCGGAACTCCTCCAGCGCCGCGAACGCAGCGTCCTCGACCACGACAACAGAGGCCGCTGGCAGCTCATTCCCGGAGATGCTGAACTCCAAGATACGCTGAAAAGCAGGGCGTAGAACCGAAGCTTCCAGCTCTTCCACCTCTGCGCGCAGAGGGCGCAGCCGTTCTTGCACCAAGTCCGCAACCTTATTTTCCCATGTGCTCAACGCCCCGGGAGCATCTGAAGGTCGCCCAAGCCAAACAACTCGGGGCCCGTAATCATCCGCCACGAACACGTTGCCTAGGAAATCCGGACCTTGTAATATGGAGTCACGCAGATTACGCGAAGGAGTCACGATCACCACTGCGCCATTCCGTGTGCCCACGTCGGCCAACGCTGCCTCGACCAGCAAAGCTACAAGTAGCGACTTTCCAGTACCTGCAAAAGCCTGTATGACCAAGTGATGATTGTCCGACGCGTTGATGATCTCCATGCATCGCTTCTGATCGTCCGACAGCTGAATGCCGCGCCTGCGCAATGCCGTCTGGATGAAGTCAGACGATGGAGAGACTCTATTCTTCAGCACATTTCCGACAGCGACTGGCGGTCCACGCCAAGGCTGCGCTATGGAAAAGGCAGACCGCAGAGCGCCGAGCCCAAGAGTATTCTCCGCAGTAGCGCTGCGAACGAGGGCGGCGCGCTGGTATACTCGGTTGCCAACCCATTCAAGGATGACGCCGAGATACTCTCCATCTGCGTGCACCTCTGGCTCCAGAGTGATGCGAGTAGCGTAATCTTTCCTCGGCGCGGCCGCTACGACATGGAGCGTTCCGCTCTGGTACGCCGCTTCGAGGCTATCTGGGCTAACGCGCGGTCTAGCAGTGCGAATATCTCGATGGGCTGCGCTAGGCGCATTGCCCTGGATGCCTACGTTCGACAGTACTCGCGTACTTATCACCCACAGCACGGGCGCTTGCCGGTTGCGAAGTCGCCGTCGGAGTCAACGCGCCAACGGGCACCCCTGTCAGTGAACGTGCGCATGTTGCACACGATGGAAGCACAACCGAGGTTGTCCTCGTGAACCTTCAGACGCACCGCATCTTCGTTGCGAACAGACCCCGCCCGCAGTTCGCACAGCAGCTTGCCCTTCGCCGCATGCAGCAGCGCTGGCGCGACCTCTGCCTCTACGTTGAACGTGGTCTTGCGAGCCACGTTGCTGGGCCCTAAGCCGCGGCAGTCGACGGACATGCGCGCGGCGAACTTCTCCAGGCGGCCGCAACTGCACCCCCGAGCCACGATATCCGCCGGCGCAAACGCCGTGTCACCGCAAGCTTTCCAGGCAGTGCTGCGGCGCTCCGGAGGAGGCAGCTCCTTCGTGCCCAACTGAGCGACGAGTTTCCTCATGCAGTTCAGCTCACCGCTGCCATCCCCCCTCTGCCTCTTAGAACTTTGAACTTTCTTGTTCGCGATGGCCTGCTCCGCGTAGTCTATTGCTTGCAGGGCGTTCCGTTGTATTCGCCCGAGTAGCTCTGGCGGCAGGCAATCCGCGATGTCTGCTGGGCGACGCCGGTACGGCGACGACCGGTCGTTGCCAAAAGGAGAGGCAATGACCACCTCCTCATCGGCACGCACAGCCACCCAAAACTTCCAGACTGACTTGCCGGGCAACGTACTGTGGATGACGTCAGCCTCGCCAGACGGTAACCATGCGCCACGCACTGCAAGAATGACGCGCGGAGTCTCTCGCGCATCTGGAAACCGGCATGCGGCAGGACCTTTCAGCAAGCTATCCGACCCGTTCCGAGACGGATGCGCGCAGCTAAATTCCAAATCTTGGCTTTGCGACGGACCGCCACCATCGATCGATGCTCCAAACGTGTCCCGCATGAACACGTCGAAGGACGTGCCCTCGCGCTGCTCGCTCCAAGGAGACCCCGTGGCTAGCAAGGTTACCAGAGCGTACGGGCGCTTCCCCATGACTACGGAAGCGACTGCTGGTAGACGGAAACGATTGCTGGTAGGCGGGGCTAAGCTCACAGCCACACTGCAACACTGTGAACCAGAATGGCAACAGCGACGACAACGCTGGAGGAAATATAGACTTGGGCCTCTCCTGAGAGCCTTGGTGACCTCGCGGCGAGCCCTGGGGGCCTCTAGGGCTGAAGTGTCGTCGTCTGATGTTGTGTGGTGTCGTGTGTAGAGGTTTGTAGTGGTGAGCAGTGGTGTCTAGTGTGGTGCGGCGCGGTGTGGTGCGGTGTGGTGCGGTGTGGTGTTGGTGCGGGGTGGTCTAGTGCGGTGCAGTGCGGTGTGGTTCCTGAAATCCCTCCTTCGCTGATTCCTCCGATCTCGCCTGTGCTGCTTCTTGGTTCCTTTTCTGATTCCTGTCGCGTTTACTGATCGTGCTGGTATGGGTTGAGTGGCGTGGCGTGGCGTGGCGTGGCGTGGCGTGGCGTGGCGTGGCGTGGTGTGGTGTGGTGTGGTGTGGTGTGGTGTGGTGTGGTGTGCTGTGGTGTCGTGTGGTGTGCTGTGGTGTAGCCCGCTGGCGGTCTCTAGATCTCACTGCACAACTGGTCGGGCAGGTTGCTGGATGGGCGGAGCTAAGCTCACTGCCACTCTCCGAACTATGCGTTCAGAGGGAGACCTGCCCATCCGTGCCGAGTTACGCTCACTGCACAACTGGTCGGGGGAGAACGCTGGATCGTCGTCGTCGTCGCCTGCATCGTCGTCGCCGACGTCGTCGTTGTCATCGTAATCGTCGTCGTCGTCGTCGTCGTCGTCGTCGTCGTGGTCGTCGCCGTCATCGTCTGAGGCGTCGCCGTCATTTGAGTCGTCTGACTCGTTCACGTGTGTGAAACGACGACGACCGCCCTCTGTCTTCCCTCCCAACACCTTCTCTCCCTCCTCCTCCTCGGACTCGTCCTCCTCCCGCTCCCCCCACTAGGTGGATGTACAAGGCGCCAGGAGGACATAGGAACAAGGTATATATGCGAGAGCAGGCAGATATACGCCTGAAAAACACGACTGTCGGCATGCTTCGCTGGAGTTGCTGTTTGGGGATGGGCTGGTGGGGATACGCGAAGCGTGAAGAATTTGCACAAACACCAGCCCAGGGGATTGCCTCCAAAGGGGGAAGATGATCCTAGATTTCGGTGCTGGTGGCAATATTTCGGCCACCCTGGAAGCCAGAATATTACCACCATCACCGAGATCGGGATCGTCTTCCCTCGGTGGAGGCACACCGCCGATCTTGGTGTTGGTGTCAACCTCTAGGCCTGCGATGTTCCTTGGCAGGAGAATCCACTGCATGGATAGCAGGATCGTACCCGCACCTCCGGGCCGCCCCTGAGCCTCGGGCGTCAGCAGCGCCTCCGTCCCCGGCGGCCCCAGCCGCTCGCCCAGCCAGGGCCAGGCCAGCCACGCCTCCAGCGACAGCGCCCCACGGCACCTCAGCGGGAGGCAGGAAGTGGGCCCGTTCAATCCCTCGAACGTCCTCCTGCTCCTCCTCCTCCTCCTCCTCCTCCTCCTCCTCCGTAGCCATTTTGGCTCATGCTGGCTCGAACTGCCCCAGGCGCGGCGGGGAGGCGGTGCGAGCATGGTGGCTGCGGGCGGCCTCCATACGAGGGCGACCTTGGAGCCGTCGGCGGCGCGCAGTGCTAGGCGTGCACGCGCTCGGGAGGCAGCGGACGGCGCAGTCCGCAACGCGATCGGTAAGACCAAGCTGCTGGAGGAGAGGCGATTCGCTGCTTGCGGACCGCGTTGCTGCCGTCTTACCGGCGCTGCAGGACCTGGCCGATGGTCGGGTGCCTTCATGGCTGGACCGTCTCAGGCGCAACGTGGCGCTTCATGCGCGCGCCCGTGCACTGGAGGGTCGGATCAGCACAGCGTCGCCGTCGGAGCTCCGCGCGGCCGCCAAGGGACAGCGGCTGGGCGCGGAGAGCGACGTGGTCATCTCGGACGAGAGGTGCGTCGCGAAGCACGTCTCTGTCAGGGCTGGGGGCTGCGAGGCGTCGGACACCGTGGGACCCACATCATGGTGTTTTTCGGCCCCCTTCTTCCGACCTGGCGCAGGGGCTCACTTCTCAGTGCGAGTGAGGGGTGATGCCCAGTGTGACGTGCTGCTGGAGGCACTTGCTCAGCCTGCGACGTGGCAGCCAAGTGTGCTGGGTCATATCTTTGATGAGGGCAGCTTCGGGGTTCACTGGGCCGCCCCATTCGAAGGGCCCAGCATAGATGGCTTCTGTCATGCTCTTCATGGTGGCAGCAGGGGCGAGGAACGGAGTTGGCCAACCGTCCCCCCAGTAAGTCCGTTTTCTTGGCTGATCGGTTATTCGCAGGCCGGCGTGCTCCAGGGCCCCCTCGATGGCTCGGCGGACAACCTCGAGGTGAAGGACATGAGGGTGCAGCCGTCAGGCATGCAGCTAATGCCTCCCAAGGGCCTCGACAAGCTGGAGGAGGTGGGGCCGCTCTCCGTCTTGGGCGAGATCTCGTGCGGCACCAACGCTGGATGTCATGATAAGGAAGATGCATGCCCTCTGTCGGGAAGGGCCCTCTGGGCCAGGACCCAGGTGGAGGGTGGAGTGGTCCTTGGGGAGGTTCGGGCCCAGGTGGCTGGAGGAGAGGCCGACACCCTTGCTGTTTCCCCGACGTCGGGAAGGGCCCAGGTGGTGGGAGGAGTGGCCGAGGCCCGGGTGGTGGGAGGAAAGGCCGAGTGCCCTGCCCAGGTGGTGGGAGGAGAGGCAAAGGTGCTTCCCCCGACAGGCAAGCAATTTCGCGACAATCTTTGGTGGCACGGCTCTGTTGATAGAGTGCTACGCAGGCTGGAGATCGGCCGCAAGACTCGCCTTCTGTCTTGGTCTCTTGCAGCGTCTGGCGGTGGGCAGGCTGCGGGTGTCTTTCGGTCGAGCCAGCCGTCCTCCTTCAAAGGCGAGGGCCAGGACTGGGAGTACATGGTGTTGGTGATCCGCGAGCTGGCCGCGCAGCTGGGGCCCCTCCCCTCCTACGGGAAGCCGCGCGGCCACGGCTGGTCCCATCATCCGCCTCTTTGCTGGTGCCTCGACTGCCTGGAGGAGCAGAACAGGTTCGTGGAGACGTCTTGGCGCCTGGACGATCCCGAGCCTTTTTGTGGAATCGCGGCATTCGTCGTGGTCGGAGGCTCTTGAAGAGGTCCCTCCTGCCGACGCGGCGAAGGTCGTGGTCTGAGTGGAGGCGTGGGCCCTCCCTCCTTCCCCCCCTCCCCTCGTCTGGCTCCTCCTCAGGGCTTCGGTGCTGTGGTGGAGGGAGGCTGCGGGCCGCGGAGTACTAACACTCCTCCTCCTCCTCCTCCTCCTCCTCCTCCTCCTCCTCCTCCTCCTCCTCCTCCTCCTCCTCCTCCTCCTCCTCCTCCTCCTCCTCCTCCTCCTCCTCCTCCTCCTCCTCCTCCTCCTCCTCCTCCTCCCCATCCTCCTCCTCCTCCCTCCTCCTCCTCCTCCTCCTCCTCTCCTCTATCTCCTGTTCCTCCTCTCCTCCTCCTCCACCTCCTCCTCTCCTCATCCTCCTCCTCCTCCTCCTCCTCCTCTCTCCTCCTCCTCCTCCTCCTCCTCCTCCTCCTCCTCCTCCTCCTCCTCCTCCTCCTCCTCCTCCTCCTCCTCCTCCTCCTCCTCCTAGGCTTCCTCATCCTACTACTCCTTTTTCATCCGCCGCCTTGGCGTCGACACGCTATTGCGTGATTCGGAAATTCCAAACTTTCGGCGCGCTGAAAAATTCAAGGCGGCAATTTTGTTCGTTGTTTTCGGCCTCTGGAACCCTCGCTGGGCCCCGGCATTGTCAAACAATGATGAAGCCAAGACGAAAAAAAACGGTCCCCGGGACGTGGTCCAGAACTCCGAAGGCCCGGAGGTTCGAGATTCGAGTCTCTCGAGGTTCGAGATTCGAGCCCCTCGAGGTTCAGGACCCCGGGGGTTCTCTCGGATTCTGGGTGCAAGGTCATCGATGGATAGTCACACTCATTTAGCAAGCCATCGAGTGCCAGGGCGCGCTTGACTGACTTGACGGACATCACAGCCTGCTTGACTTCCAAGTTGACAAGCGTGTCAATAAATTTCTTGTTGCTATGCTTCTCTTCTACTTGCACATACTGCGCCGATCCGAAAGTTTCCCCGAGTTCGCCACCGTGCTCGCCGCGGCCATCTGGGGTGGCGCGCGCAGGATAAGACTCGCGGGGCCCGAGGGCGGACGGGGGCGATGTCGCGAGGGCAGAGTCGGCGCGCCGATGGGCAGCCCAGCACGCCGTTTGGCCGGAGGGGCCCAGTACAATGCAAGGGCAGAGCCTAAACCCCGCCCGGGGTCGCGGGATCGGGCATTCGCATTTTAAAATTTCAAATCCCAAACGGTGTGCTGGCCCGGGAATGAGCAAACGGCATAGGACCTCCTCGGAAAAAGCTTCCGGTTTCAGTCACGCGACGACCCGAAAAATTGACCCGCCGACCTGAAAGTGGCCAAATCCCTTAGGACTTGTGCAAACAAGAACTTCGGGTCCGGTTCGAAGGACCCAAAAATGTGCAAACCGCCTAGGACTCCTTGCAAAAACATCGTTCTCGAGGTCTTCGGGCCCACTCCGAAGAAACCGAAGAAACCGAACGTGGGCAAACCGCCTAGAACGGTGGTTCCGGGACTCGTCCGAAGGAGCCCCCGATGGGCAGACCGCCCAGGACTTCCTGCGGAAGAAACGGTTTCCCGGGTGAGCCATTGTCGACGGGAACGCGCCCCGCGCAGGATCCGGGTTCGCACGGGGGCGCGGCTGCTCTCGCCTGTCTAGGGGGCATGCAATGCCGCGCCCTTCCAGCATAGCGTTTGCGCTGCATTCGCGCGGCGCCGTGCCTCTCAAATCGGATTTAACTTTCGGAGCGCCGATGTATTACTGCACGAGCCATGCAGCGTCAGCTCGGACTGTAACTCGACGGTGATCCCGTGCGGTTCGGTCATGAACTTTTACAGATGCTGGCAGTCTCGGGAGTGAGGGTTGCAGTGAACATCATCACCTGCTTCTTCCTCGGCGTCTTGATGAAGATCTGCTGCGCGTCACGGCGCAGATCCAGCTCATCGATACATCTGTCGCACTCGTCCAAAATGAAGCGCTTCAGATTGTCGAGCTTCAGAGCCTCCTCCCGCACGAGCTGTAGTGCGCGCCCAGGCGTCCCCACCAACACGGGGCAGCCGTTCTTCAGCATCTGCTTGTCCTTATCGATAGGGGTGACTACCGCATTAATCTGGACCTTCTTGACGATCTGCCCTGGGCACTTGAGCTCGTGCCGGATCTGCTACGCGAGCTACCGCGTGTGGCACGAGACCGAAACCGAGACAGCCTCCTGGGTGGATGCATCCAGGTCCTCTGGCATTTGGCAGAGAATGTCGGTCCCGAGTATCGCCTGCGGAGTGCAGGCGTGTTGCACCTCGGCAGGGTGCTCGAGGCCGCGCGCCACGAGGGCCTTCATGAGCTCGGGCCTGGGCGAAAAATCCCTGACGCCGGAGGCCGTGATGGCGCCCGTCCCGTGGCCGCTGCCGTCCTTCCCGTGCTCGCGTGCGCCTTGAGTCCTCGGTCGCCTCATCGAAGTCGGACAGCTCGTCGGCCTCGACCTTCGCATCCGATCCGGCGGCCGCCATCGTCCCCGCGCTCCCAGCGCCACGGGGCGCCCGCTCCCTGGGCTGCGGCGGCGGCTTGAGCCAAGGTGGCTACGGACGTTCCCGTCGTGCTTTTATATACATCCGCCGACCCTGTCAGCGTGTGTGAAACGTTTTTCCATTGGAGTCGTCGACATCGCCGTGGACGCCCTCCCCCCATTCCATGCGCCCTCCTCCTTGAGCGATTCAGCCAAACGGAAATCAAACAACGCTGCCGTTGATTCGAAGAGAAGCCTCTTCCCTTTCATCCCCTCCCTGCCGGGGGGCCTCCCCCTGGGTGGGGTTCCGCGGGAGTCCTCGGTGTCGTGCTCTCCCCCCAAGGGAGTCACCCATATTGATAGGGGGACAGGGGAGGAACTCAGGACATCTGCACCCGCCTCCCCCCTGTGGACAAGGCGACCACCACCACCACCACCACCACCACCACCACCACCACCACCACCACCACCACCTCCTCCCGGGCTACCCCCCGGAGGCACCCTCCTCACTCTTACCTGCTGTTGCGGGGTGCTGCGTATTTTGGCACATGCCTTCAAGAGGCCTCAGATCCGCTCCGAGCTGGCTCCAAGTGACCACGGAGCTCCCCAAGAAGCCTCCCAAGAGGCCCCCCAACAGAGCCTAAGAGGCTTCCAGGAGAGCCTCAAGAAGGGGTTCAGAGCGTCATCGTCGTCGTCGTCGTCGCCGCTGCCGCCGCCGTCGTCGTCGTCGTCGTCGTCGTGCCCCTTCAGGATCCGCGGCACCGTCCGCAACGCCTTCCCAAAATATCCTCCCTACTTTATCCGCTGGGAAAATGTCCGCCCCACTTTGTCGCATTGTTTGGGTGCATTTCCAGCACAACTTAAAAAGCGCGGTGGATATGGATTCAGGGACTTGTCTGGTTGACGGTCCCGGGGCCTAGCGAGGGCAGCCCGAAAAGGGGCCAAAAAACTGTCCGTCGTGTTTCTGCTTCACGGCGCGAGCAATTCCCGTGAGATCCGACGTTGTTGAAAAAATGCAGCACCGCGAGCAATCACGACCGAGTCCCAGAACCAATCTTCCTGCGGCATTTTCAGAGTCCCATTCGATCTGTGATGGCCACGGGGTCCGAAACACTGCAACGCCCCGGACCTCAGGGAACAAACCTCTGTACGGCAGGTTCGTCCCGTGACGACGCCAGCGTTGGCATCTGACTCCGCGTGGACTGTTCATGCTTCAACGACCGGCGGCTTTCTGATCGACAGATGGTTCCATACAGCCAGACCTAGGACAGAAGAACATCCTCCAAGAGCATGAGATCCTCCGCTGGCCAAACTGAAGTACATTCGAGGGTACCTTCACCCCCGGGATGCCCCGACAACATCCAACAGACACGAAGAACATGAGAGCACCCTTCCCGAACCTGCCTCGATCTTACACTTCGGTCCGATTGGCCGACTCTGGGCCACTGTCGGCGCTCCACCTTGAAAGCCCGCTGGGGGGGATCGCTGCTGCGTCGACACGGCACTGGCCCGCAGTGTACCCCTTTTGGGTGCCTGACCGCACGGTGGAGGGAAGAGGTGAAGCAACAGGCCCCCCTCCCCCGCAGTTTCAGATTTGGCACGTTCCCTGAAGACCACTCAGAGGCCCCCAAATCGGAAGATCCGAAACCATCACTGCATTTGGCGGGAGGGGGGACAAATCAAACCCTCTGCTCTGCATGAATGTTGCTCCATTGTTTCCGACACCTGCATCCCCGCTTGGTTTTCGATTCACACCTCGGCTCTCTGGCGGCCGTTCGGGGCGATCCGGGTACGCCCGGAACGCCCTCGGCAAGGCGCAGCTGCTGGACAGCATCCCGAGGCCAGAGAAGCGCCGAGAACGCCCGGAAACGTGGAACCACGCTCGAACCACCTCGAGAGCGCCCAACTTCGCGCTCTCGCGCCGCCCCCTGGGGGAGGAGGAGGAGGAGGAGGAGGAGGAGGAGGAGGAGGAGGAGGAGGAGGAGGAGGAGGAGGAGGAGGAGGAGGAGGAGGAGGAGCCGAACCGCGAAGCGCGAACCCCTCCGCGCCCCGAGGGGGCCCAGAGGCACCTCGAGCCTGCCGTGCGCGTGACCTTTCCCGACGCAATCGCGAGCACGTCTCTGGTGTTGCTAGAAGTGCCCCTGGCCCGAGGTGCCCCCAGCTCTTCGCTCCACTCTGGAAGCCCCTGGGGTCCTCTGGGCCTCGTGATGGGGTGCCCTGGAGGCCTCCTGGGCCACCCCGAGAATCCTGGGGGTACCCTGGACCAGGGGGTACTTCTAGCAACACCCGACCGTCTGGGGCGGGCGCCCCTCCTCGCCGCACAGCTGCCGGAACGCCCCGCGCAGCTCGCCCTCCGAGGGCGCGCGGTGCGCCGCGCCGCGCGCCGCGCCGCCGCCGCCGGCCGCCGCCGCCGGGCAGGCCGGGCCGCCGCGGGCGCTCGCGACGAGCGCGCCGAGCAAGGCCGCGTCGCCGGCCTCGCCGGGCCCGGCCAGGACTGGGACGCACGAGGACGTGCCAACGCTCGGCGGCGCGCACAGGGGGGGGGCAGGGGGAGAGGGGGGAAGGCTTCCGAGAGGGAGGCTGCTTCTGAGACGGCGCCGGCCTGACATCTATAGACGGGGCCTGCGCCTGCTAAGAAACATGGGGTGCTTCTGAGAAGCCTTCCCCCCTCACCCTACCCTTAGGTCGGGCAGGCCCCCCTACAGGCAGACTTTGGACGGAAAATAAAAAATATTCAAAACATGCCCCCCAAATGCCAAAGAATACTCGAAATATCGTCCCCAGCCTATTTGTTGACTATTTTTGAATATTCCTCCTGTAAAGGGACAGGCCCGACTTCAGCACAACCCTCCTCTGCGCGCGGCCGATGTACGATTCGTGTCTCTGCTGGAGGGCCGCGCGTCCGACCCGAGCACACAGCTCAGGCTCCCATGCCAGGTGTCCGAGCGCGCGCGTCGCCCCCGCGCGGCGGAAACGCGCACACCGAAGCAGAAAAGCATGCCTGCACGGTGCCGAGGAGCAGTTTCTGAACGGGCGTGGGGGGCACCGTCCTGGGCCTCCCGGATGGGGTCGGAGCGGATGGGGTCGGAGGACCACGCCGAATCGCCGATGCACCGCCGATGCGGCTCGATGTGCAGCCCGATTCACTTCACGTCGACGTCGCCGATGCATCGCCGACGTCGACGATGCATCGCCAGTGTATCGCCGATGCATCGCCGATGCGTCGTCGATGTATCGGCGACGCGGCGCGATCCCCCGACCCCATCTACTCCGACCCCATCTAGGAGGCCTCTAGGTACCCCCCGACGGGGTTCCACCTCGCCTCGTCGTCGCGCCGTGGCGGGGGTCGGAGCGCCTTCGGCGCGCGGTGGCTGCCCGCGGCGGGTGTCGATGCGGCGCTGTCGGCGGGGGGGTTACCCCCCCCCCCCCCCCCCCCCCCCCCGACGCTTATTAAGAAACTCGGAGTACACGTCGTTCATTGCTAATCGTGCTCATTTCTAATTGAGCTCGTTTCTAATTGTTCCTGGCCCCCTAGTGGCCAGGAAGCGGCCCAGGATAGAACAATTAGAAATGAAAGAATCCTGGCCCCCCAAAAATCAAATGACTTTCGAAGAACTAGAAGCGAACAGTGTGTAGTTGTTCCCCCAAGCAGCTTGCTGACCCGGGTGCTGATGTGGCAGGAGCCAGCTCTGGCCGAGGAGCGGCCCCGGCAGAGACGTCCTCCAAAACACGTGGTGCTCTGGGCCGCTTCGCCCGAGGCATCCCGGCCAACCCTCGTTTCGGAGTTCGCTGGGATGGGGCGCTTCGCCGGAGACGTCCTCCCAGGTCTGGGCTCCGAGACGCCGCGCGCGAGGTGGTCCGCGGTGGTCCGCGCGTTGCGCTTGAGACCTCCTCACAACTCTGCGCTCCGAGCTGCCGCGCGCGAGGTGGTCCAGCGCGTTTCGCTTGAGATATCCTCCCAAGTCTGGGCTCCGAGACGTGCCGCGCGCGAGGTGTGCCGGCGCGCTTTGCATGAGACATCCTCACAACTCTGCGCTCTGAGCTGCCGCGCGCGAGGTGGTCGGCCGCGTTTCGCTTAAGACGTCCTCCCAATTCTGAGCTCCCAGACACCGCGCGCGAGGCGGTCCGGCGCGCTTCGCTTGAGACACCCGCGCAACTCCAGGCTCCAAGATGCCGCGCCAGAGGTTCCTCGCAACTCGGGGCTCCTCAGAGATGGGCGGGATGGTCTGGCCCGCTTCGCCTGAGGCATCCTCGAAACCCTGGACTCTCAGAACATATGCGCGAGGTGGTTTGGCGCGTTTCGCTCGAGACATCCTCGCAATTCGGGGCTCCGAGGTGCTGCGGGCGAGGTTGTCTGGCCCGTTTCGCAGCAGACATCCTCGAAACTCGGGGCTCCGAGGGGGAGGACAGTCAGCTCCTCCGCTAATAGGAGGCTGACTGCTCCCCGGGCCGGCTGGGGTCTCCTCGGCTGGTCCCCGGGCCGCCTCTGGCCCTCAGGAAGGGGGCAACGGCAGGTGGAGGCGGGCTCGGGGACGGAAGCATCGGCCCGGCATCGGCGATGCGTCGCCGAGGCATCGGCCATACAGCAGGAGCTCGCCCGCGAGAAACCTCCCACAAGAAACCCAAGCCTGAGACCCCAGGGCAGTCCCTCGCCTGTTGGTGCGGGAACGTCACGCTCTCCACGCAGCAAAGAACAATCGAAACCCAAGACAACCCCAGGCACCCTGGAGGCAAGCAAAGTGTTCCTTGGCATGGGATTCCACTGTAGGCTTCCATGCTCCCCAGTCGAAGCTGGTTGCCCCACCAAGGATACAGGTGAGGACCCCGGCTCCCCTTCGGTGGCATCTCATGGGAGCCTCCCGTACCATCTTGTCGGCTCTAGCGAATCGACGCTAGTCGACGCTTAACAGAGGCTAGGTCGGCGCTAAATCGACGCTGACCGACGCTAAACCAGCGCCACCTCATCGACTCCCAAACGCTCATCGACGCTAACCGACGCTGAGGACGGAACGAAGAGGGTATACCAAGCCCCCGTGATTTGCTACCGAACCATCCTCCCCAATCGAAGCATGTCGAAGCCGGTTGGCCCCCCCAGGGATACATCGGGGGGGCGCAAGCATGGATTAGCGGATCCATGGATTTGGCGAGCGGCCGCCAAATCCAGGGATCGGGGGAGGCGCCCTCCCAAAACGCGGCCAGTGCCGCCTCGTTCGGCGGCGGGAACCCGCGATCTCCCACGGAAAAAGGGCCCGTCGCTAATCCGCCCCCTTGATCCATGCTTGCGATCGCCTGATGGAGCACGCGTTCGCGGATAGAGAAAGAGTCAGCGCAGTGTTAGGTCGGGCATGTCCCCCTACAGGCAGATTATGGATGGCAACATGAAACAAATACGCAAAAAATGCCCCAGAGTAGCCAACAACTAGTCGAAACATCGTCACCAGACTGTTTTTGATTCATGTTTGCGATCGCCTGGGTGCAGGTGAGGGCCCCGGCTCCCCCCGGCCGTGGGCCCGCCTGCCTCGCCACCGAGCGCGGCGACGTGCTGCTGCAGGCACCACCTGCGCAGCGCCCTCGCGGCGAGCTCCCCCCGCGCGTTGGTGACGGCCATCCAGGCCGCGGGGCTCGCGGCCTCGCGGCCGCGGCCAATGCTCCACCACCGCTGCAATAGGTAGGACGGGGGAGGTCCTCCTCCTCCTCCTCCTCCTCCTCCTCCTCCTCCTCCTCCTCCCCCTCCTCCTCCTCCTCCTCCTCCTCCTCCTTGCCCTCCTCCTCCTCCTCCTCCTCCTCCTCCTCCTCCTCCTCTTCCTCCACCTCATCCGCCTCCTCCTCCTCCTCGTCCTCGTCCTCGTCCTGCTCCTGCTCCTGCTCCTGCTCCTGCTCCTGCTCCTGCTCCTGCTCCTCCTCCTCCTCCTTCTCCTTTCCTTTTCCTTCTAAATCACTTCTCCCTGTAGCACCCCGAGGTAAGTTTTTAGAGCGGGCCGAGAGTTTCGTCTGAGACGACCTCACCTTTTATGACCCTGAAGCTTTAGAATTGGCAACAATCTCAGATGGAGGGCGACCCGTTTTCAACATGTGGCTCTCGCCGTAGCGCCGCGCACATTCGTTGTTCACGGATTGAGGGGAACCCGTTTTCAAAATTTGGCTCTCGCCTTAGCGCCGCGCACATTCGTTTTAAACGATTGCTGGAGCTTCACGGATTGAGGGCGGCTCCTTTCCAACATGTGGCTCCCGCCTTAGCGCCGCGCACATTCGTTCACACAATTTGCAAGAGTCTCACGGCTTCCCATTACCAAAATACCAGAAATTGCATTTGGGAAAGATTCAGGATTATGAGGGCGCAACAATAACGTTCATTCGCGGTGTTGAAATCCCAGGAATGGCGTTCTGGCACGATTCAAGATCGTCAAACCGCAACAGTCAGGTTGATCCGTGACGTTGGAATCCCACGAACACTTGCTATTGGTCTTCAAACAGTTGTCTTCCAACGAGGCAGTTCCCTCAATGGAAATGAACCGTTGTAGGGGCCTGTGAAGAGGGAGCTTGGAGGGAGGGTTTATTCCAACATCGTTGATGACTCTTGGGTTTACTCTGGTCCTCCTCCTCCTCCTCCTCCTCCTCCTCCTCCTCCTCCTGCCTGTGGTGGTGGTGGTGGAAAATCGGCCCGTCAGGCCAGAGGAGCGACGAGAAGACGCGGGCCCTCCCTGAGGCCTGGGCGCTGCAGCGTCCCAGCACCACCGCGCTGCTGCGCGACTCGCGCTAACGGTAGGTCGGGCATGTCCTCCCACAGGAAGATTTGGAATGAAGATAATGAAGAGGTCAAAAATCATCAACGATAGTCAAAAGAGCACGAAAAATCGTCCCCAGACTATTTCTTACCATTCTTGAATACTGCATTCCTCCTGCAGAGGGACATGCCCGACTTAACGCTAACGGCCGTTACCAGGGGCGCTCCCCCCATCATTTTTGGTAATATCACGGTTCGCGCCGGCGCAGTTTGGGAATGGCTTGGGGTAGGTAATTCCCAGACGGCGCTGGCGCAGGTCGTGAAGTTTACCGGCCTCCCCCACCCTCCTTCCTCCCTCCAGTGACCCCCGTTCTCGCCAGGGAGTAGAAAACGCTCTCCGCCGGGCATTGTCGCCCAGTTTCGGGCCCTGGGACTGTCACAGATCGATCCGGCTCGAAAGATGTCGCCGAAACCCGTCGTGAGTTGTCGCGATATCTTCGCAACGTCGGATCACAAGGGAGCGGCGACAAGAAACGGGTCCTACGCAAGAAAACATGGCGAACTTACGCCGCGGTTTACGCGGGCCGCCGGCGCACGCGGCGTGGAGAAGAGGGCGCTTACGCGCGGCCTTACGCTTAGGTCGGGCGTGTCCTCCTACATTGGGGGATTTTGGATGGAAAATAAAACATACTCAACAAATACGGAAAATGATCAAAAATAGTAAAACAATCGTCTCCGGACTATTTCTTGACTAATCCCACCAGCCCTCTGGGCGTAGGTGGTTTAGGGAGTTTCCTCTTCCACCCCTCCTTCTTCCCCTTCGGGGAGGGGTTTACCCCTCCCCCTACCCCCTCCCCTGGACCTGGACAAGGGGTTCCGCGAGTCGTCGGAGCGTCCAAAACGGCCTCGGCGAGGAAGCCAACATCATTGGTTTTACTAGGGTTTTGGTCCCATTTTGGCCTCCTGAGGGGGGGGCCCAAATTAATGCTCCCCTCTTGTTTGATCGATCTCCTCCAAGATGGCCCCAAGAAGCGCCCAGGAGGCCCCCAGAGGTCCCAAGATGGCCCCAAGATGGCCCCAAGAGGCCCCCAAGAGGCCCCCAGGAGGCCCCAAAAAGGATCCCAAGCGGCCCCAAGAGGCCCCCCCGAGGCACCCAAGACGCCGAAGAGCCCCCCACGACCGCCAAGAGATCCCCAAGACGTCCCAAGACGCCCAAGACATACCCCAAGAGGCTCCGAGAAGACCTCTGGCCCTTTTGCTTGCTCTCCTCCTCCTCCTCCTCCTTCCTCCTCCTATCCCTTCTCATCCTCCTCCTCCCCCTCCGCCTCCTCCTCCTCCTCCTCATCCTATTCATCCTCCTTCTCCCTACTCCCTCATCCATCCATCCAATTTTCTCCTTCGCCCCCTCTCTCCTTCACACGGTTCGGTCGTCCCCCTCTTTGCTCCCGCACTTCCCCCATCACCTCTCAACTCGCCTGGACATCCTTTCTGGATGGGCTGGTGTGGATACGCGAAGCGTCTAAAATTTTGAATAGTCCTCCTGTAGAGGGACAGGCCCGACTTAAGCTCACGCGCGGCCTTACGCGGGAAGCTTCAGCGCGAGTGCCAGCGCAGTCGACCCCCGGTTCCTCCGTCGCTCCGATGGCCATCCACGTGGCTTGCGGCCTTTGGGCCGTGGCTGGATGGCCACCCGGACTTCCGATGTCTTCATTTTGTTGAATGCGTCGTCCCTGTGGCTCCGGGCCACTTCCCTCGGAGGACCGGCGTTTCGTTCTGGCCGCTTTTAGACGGCCCCGTGGCGGCCCAGCGAGGGACACCAGATGCCCCAACAACGGCAGAGCCCCCCCATCCTGATTTTGGCCAAGACGCCAACGGTCTTTAGGCACCCAGGAGGACCACGGAAGGGGGGGTCCAGTAGCCGACTGAGTCGGGCCGTCCGGAGGCCATCGGTCCGAGATGGATCTTGAGATCCGACCCTGCGAGAAGAAAGACAACATCGCGAAACATCCCGACGGGAGCGCTGGACCCCACCTTTCTGCGGCATTCTTCGAGCTGCATCGATCTGCGATTGTCCCAGGAGTCCTGGAGCGCGAAGCCGAACGCTGCGGAAATTACCCTGCGACGTACCCAACCCACGTGCATCAAATGGCAAGAGGACTATGCCAACATTAGCAGGAACAGCGACAGTGTAGACGCGGCGATTTGCTGTGCAAGCTACATGGGATGCGCATGCGTTGCACGATTCACAGGACGACGATCGAAAGAACGAGGATTGAGGCCCCAGGATCGAAGAAGAACGGGTACGGGAACGAGGGGTAGAGGGATGGAATGGAGGGCGGGGGGGGGGCGAAAGGCCATCGCGGAAGCAGCAGCATGCATGGAGAAGGTGAGGCGGGGAATAGGACGACGATGAAAGTGGCGGGAGGAGACAGAAGACTGCCGCGTTTTTCAAGCGCGAGCTAAACCCGCAGCGCTGCCTGCGCCATGCCGTCGCAGACTTCCACATGATAAAACTTGTTTAGAATGCAAGGAACGAGCGAGGCGTAGCTCGCCCGCTAGCTTCTCCGCCTCCTTCCCGCACATTTCAGCGCGGGAGCTGAACGCTCGCAGGCGCGCCGCCAGGTCTGCGGGCGGCCCGCGGGAAAGAAACTCAAGGCCGGGGTCGCGCATCATCAATCGGTTGTCCATCGTCCAAAGTTGCTGGGCCTGGTTTCCGTTGATCATCGGAAGCGTCGGCAATTACGCCTCGGCCCCGCGCGCTGCTAAGACCGCGGAGCAGGCGCCTTTCTTCAGCCACCAGCACGGCGCTGCAGGCCGACAGTATGCGTAAATATATTTGTTAGAGGGCCCGATGGGCAACCTCGAAGGACGGTAGCGATGGCACGAACCGCAGAGCAAGGGCACGCGAGCATTGCTCGTGGTCAGAATCTGAGTCCCCGTGATGCCTCACTCCGCTGGCCACCCACCAGCAGCCCTCGAAAGTGGCGACAGTTTCACAGATCGCAGCCGCCCAGGGGTGGCGAGGTCTAATCTGAGTCCCCGTGGTGCCTCACTCCGCTGGACCCACCAGCAGCCTCGAAAGTGGCGACAGTTTCACACAGGGATGGCGAGGTCTAATCTGAGTCCCCGTGGTGCCTCACTCCGCTGGACCCACCAGCAACCCTCGAAAGTGGCGACAGTTTCACAGATCGCAGCCCCCCAGAGATGGCGAGGTCTAATCTGAGTCCCCGTGGTGCCTCACTCCGCTGGACCCACCAGCAGCCCTCGAAAGTGGCGACAGTTTCACAGATCGCAGCCGCCCAGAGATGGCGAGGTCTAATCTGAGTCCCCGTGGTGCCTCACTCCGCTGGACCCACCAGCAGCCCTCGAAAGTGGCCACACAGCCCCCCCCAGGATGGCGAGGTCTAATCTGAGTCCCCGTGGTGCCTCACTCCGCTGGACCCACCAGCAGCCCTCGAAAGTGGTGACAGTTCCGCAGATCGCAGCCCGCCAGGGATGACGTGAAAGGCAAGAGAAGAGAAGAGGAGGAGCGAAGAGAGGAGGAGAAGGCAAGCAAGAGAGGAGAGGAGGAGGGAAGAGAGGGGGGGGGGCGGGAGGAGGAGAACGCAGACCGCAGTGCTCTATTCAAAACGAGTACCCAACGCAGGAGGGTTGGGAAAAACAAAGACGTACCACATCGCGACACATCGCAGCTGGAGCCCTTGGGCCCCACCTCCCTGCGGCAGCCCTCGATCTGGATCGACCTGTGATGGCCCCGGAGCGCGAGGCTGGGCGACGGAGCGCCCGGTGCGAGACGAGCAAAAGGTGAGCAAAGCCCGGATGCGGCGGTGGACAGAGCCTCCCTGGAAAGCAGAAACCTCCCCTGCGTGGAAGACGGCCTGCGGGGCCGAAACCGACGGACCTGGACCCGCCAAAACGACGGCCGCGACGCCCTCTCGCGAACCGAAAACGGCCAATCCCTTAATCGACGTGTCCGGGTAGGAGGTCGATCCACCTCCGACGGATCTCCGGAAGGGGAGGCCCGAGGTGGACGGCCGCGAGGCCGACTAGTTCCCCCGGGCGCCAGCCTCTGGCCTGCTCGGCTGGTCCCCGGGCCCGCCTCGAAACCCTGGGCCGCCTCCGAGCATGTGCGCGAGGCGGCTTGGCGCGTTTCGTTTCGCCCGAGACCTCCTCGAAACTCGGGGCTCCGAGGTGCTGCGGGCGAGGTGGTCTGGCCCGTTTCGCCCGAGAACTCCTCGCAACTCGGGGCTCCGAGGGGGAGGACAGTCAGCTCCTCCACAAATAGGAGGCCGACTGCTCCCCGGGCCGGCTGGGGTCTCCTCGGCTGGTCCCCGGGCCGCCGCTGGCCCTCAGGAAGGGGCAACGGCAGGTGGAGGCGGGCTCGGGGACGGAAGCATCGGCCCGGCATCGACGATGCGTCGCCGAGGCATCGGCCATACAGCAGGAGCTCGCCCGCGAGAAACCTCCCAGAAGAAACCCGAGCCTGAGACCCCAGGGCAGTCGCTTACCTGCTGGTGCGGGAACGTCACGCTCTCCACGCAGCAGAGAACCATCGAAACCCGGAAGCACATGGGCACGTCCGATAGCGAATCCGCACGTTCATCTAGGGCTCCCAACTTCGCGCTTCGCGCTGCGCGAAGCGCGAAGCGCGAATAACTTCGCGCTCTCGCGCCGCCCTCCCAAAGGGAGAATAGGAGGACGAGGAGGAGGGGGAGAAGGAACGAGGACCGCGAAGCGCGAAGCGCGAATAACTTCGCGCCCTCGAGGGAGCCCTTGTTCATGGGCGGAGTGGGCTACCGAACCCCAGATCGGCGATGACTTGGCGACGGGGGGTCGACGCATCTCCCCCTGAGCTCATCCCCCCCCCTAACATTGCCCCTTGATCCTCGGACCATAACTCGGCTCTCGGGCGGCAGTTCGGGACGATTCCAGCACCCTCGGAACGCTGTCAGCGAGGCGCAGCCGCTGGAACGCACCCCGAGGCTGAACAAAAATCGCCCAGAACCGACGAGAGCGCCCCAAAACCTCGGACCTCCCAGCCTCGAATCCCGAAGCCTCAAACCTGACTCAGTTGCCACCCGACCACGGCCGTCACCGTCATCGTCGTAGACTGACTATCGTTTAATCGATCCCCATCCCCGGCGGCGTGGCCTGGGCCACACTGGCCGATTTACCCCCGTAGATGGGGATATAGGTCGTTCCCTTCGGGTTTCGAGGGGTGTATCCCCAACTGGGGTGGTAATTTTGCGGGGGTCTCGAAGGGGATGGGGATGGGGATGGGGATCGGTGAAACGACACCGATAGACGTCGCGGTCGCTCCCATGCCTTGAGTTCCGCCAGCAGGCCCTCCACGGCTGGCTCGGCGGGGGCCCCGGGCGCGGCCGGGTGCGAGGTCGTGGCCATGGCGCCCTCGCGGAGAGCGCCCGCGAAAGGACGCGCCGCGGCCGCAGCGCCACCCTCGCGCGCATGGCGCCCGCGGCTGGGCCAGGACGACTGGCGGCAGCCCAGAGGGTCAAAAACCTTCAAAACGGAGGTCCGGCCTCCATTCTGAAGGCGCTCTTGCGCTCAATTCTGGAGGCTCTTCGCATCCAGAGCGCAGGTCTGGCCTCTAGAACGGTGAGGCGAGCTTTGCCTGTTAGATTGGCAACCTGCTCAGGATCTAAATTTTGGGTATTTGCATCCTTGCCCAGCATGTCAACCTCGAACGAGATCGACGGGCTAGGCAAGCCACTTTCCTGGAAACTGAAAACGCCCGCGGTGAAAATCAAGTGGTTCGGGCTCAGCAAGCGCGGGCTGGATAAACTTGGGGGAGACATCGGCATGCCCCCTGGCTTCCACCACCTGGGGTAGCTGATAACTGTAGAGCCTGTGGCGGGTCGTGTCCCTCTCCCCGCACCCACACGCCCCGTCACACAAGCACCCCGCCCTCTCTGCTCGATCGGTGGTCCACGATCCTGAGCAGCAACCTCAGCTCCTTAAGAGGTACTTCTGAAACCTGGTGAACCTGTTGAAACGCTTGGCTTTCGGAGACACGGCTCTTCAGATGAAGTCAAGCGAGGCCCTGAGGCCCAGGAGGGTGGCCGAACTGGAGGGGGGCCCCCGTACGTCGTCGCCTGCGCTATGGGCTGTCCGACCGTCGCCACCGCAGGCCGAGCAGCCGCCGCCAGCACGCGCACGCCGAGGCCTCGGCCCGGGGCGCCGACAGCGGCCAACCCCACCAGGGCACAGACTACCCTCGGACCAGGCAGCAGTGACGGCAAGATGGGTGGCACAGAGCAGACGAACACCATCAGCCAGAACGAGCTCGACCCTACCGACGTCCAGGGAAGCCCAAGACTACCCGCCCAAGAGCAGGCACGAGGTGCGACACAAGGAGGAGACTTCCCCGTCACGGCCTTCTTCAGGACGGTTTCGGCCCACCCAGACGGCGACGTCAATCAGGTCCGCAAGGCTTACGAGGACTGGATCCCAGCGGACAGCAAGCACAAGGACATGCCCCTCGCCATCCACAAGGGCGAGAACATCCACATCACCTGGATTCAGCCGCCCCCCAACCCGAGGGAGTGGACACCCACGGGCCACTGGGCATGGGGCGAGCGGATAACGAACGACGTCACACACCAGGCACGCGAACACGGCGAGGACCCCGACTCACCGCGCTGCCACACCGAGAGAATGGACCCAAGCCGCATGATCGAGCACGAAGCGTACGTCGCCAGCATCACAGACACCACTGTGAACCTCCGCCTGTCCATGGACACGGAGGACCTGGACGAGAACCGCAGGGTGGTGCACGACATCGTGTATCGCACCATCTACCACGAAAGACCTATACACAGTCTGACCAACCAGCACGAGGCCCACAGCAGGCCAACTGCGGACACAGGGTCCGGCGACGGCAACCACGACCAGCTCCAATAGTCCTATCAACTCGACTCAACCCACCGACGCTGCTTCCACCCTCCGGACTCCAATCCGGGGAAGTGCGGATGCCCCGTACAGGGAACAGCCGCATTCGCAGCAACGACCCCAGCACAGCTGGGCAACCACGAATCCCTGCCGTATGCTGCCTGCAGGACCCGTGGCTCGGGCCACCCTCACCGTGAGGAGCACCAGCATCAATGCCACATCTCCCAGCGTCACACCTCTTCAGCTGCAGCCGCCCCCGCAGGGCGCAGCTTGCCCATGCCTCCTCCAGTTTCGCTCCACGTCGGCACGACCACCGCTCAGCTGGCGACATTTACTTTCCACACCTCCTATCTGGCCCTCCGGTCGCCAGCCTGCGCACTCACTGCCACCTTGGCAAAAGCAGCACCAGCCACCACGCGACAACGCAGCGGCAGCATCCACACCCACTAGCGGTGAAGGGATAGCGCATTCCAACACTCCTCACCGCCCCGTGCCTCATCCAGGGCGTCCAGCAAGGCGCCGCCAGCCTCCCACGCCGCCTCTTCTCACGCATGTGTCCACCTCTGCTACTTCCTGTCCTACGACGACCCTCGCGTCAACAGCGGCACTCCTTGCTGCTCCGAGCTTGACCTCTACCTGCATCTTGCCCTCACCAGCGGTCCCCTCACCATCCACTCCTAAGGATCCTCGGGCCGTCACCAACCTGCCCCTCCCTCGCCTCCTCTGCCTGCAGCCTTCACCGCCCTCCCACCCTAACAGCGCCACTCCAGGGACAGGGAAGGTCGGGGTGCGTGCGATGGGGAGGATGGGGGAGACCCACGGCCCCACGGGCCAGCATCGTCACATAATTACCGCCGTGGGGGTATCAGCCCCACGGCGGCCGTGGACCACTTGACCGAACCCAACTCAAGAGCCACGCCGAGGAAGCCACCACTCCCCCACCTCGGATGGTGGTGGCCCCCGCTCGGGCCACCTCCTCCCCCCCGCCCTGCTTCTTGCCACCTCGCGCGCCCTCCCGCCCTCAGCCGCGCACACCTCACCGCCGCCCGTCGCGCTGTCGTGTCCACAGCGCCAATGCCCACTTCCCCCCCAACACCCGCGTCCACGCTCGGACCACACCCGCACCCGCACCCGCACAGCCTGCCGCTGGCGCACACAGGCGCCATCAGCTTCACCGCCCCCCCGTCCACAGGCTGCCTATTTTCTGGTCCTTCTTCTTTCTCAGCACCTCCTGGTTTTTCTTACCCTCCTCCTGGGGTTGACGGCGCCCGATGCAGGAGCAAAACCGTCCGCAGCCACGAAGAGGAGAAGGGGGAGGAGGAAAGGAGGAGGAGGAGGAAAAAGAGGAGGAGGGGGGAGGAGGAGGAGGAGGAGGAGGAGGAGGAGGAGGAGGAGGAGGAGGAGGAGGAGGAGGAGGAGGAGGAGGAGGAGGAGGAGGAGGAGGAGGAGGAGGAGGAGGAGGAGGAGGAGAGGAGGGAGGAGGAGGAGGAGGAGGAGGAGGAGGAGGCGGACGGGGAGGTGGAGGAGGAGGCGGAGGAGGAGGAAGAGGAGGATGAAGAGGAGGAGGAGGAGGAGAAGGAGGAGGAGGATGTTTCAAATCGACAATGCGCAGCAAATCTGGGCGGACGTGGCCAGCCCGAACACCATGAAGACTTCGAGGACGACCCAAAGCACCTTACGGCAAACATGCTGCACCGCGCCCTCGCCAACGCCATACACGCGTGAATCTATGGCGGGGCCCAGTAAACAACACAACCAGCGAGCCACGGCGAGTTTGACGTAGTGGTACCACGAAACCAGCACACACATGTAGTACGACGGTGGGGCATACGACCAACAAAAACAATCAAGATATCCAAGCCGATCGCCACCGAATACGCCCAATGCATAGAGCTGCGCAGCACCACAGTGCAACCGTGGAATTGCGTCACCTCCAACACTGGACACGCATACGGGCCCGAACTGTAATATACCGTGCGGGTATGAGGACACGAAGATATAACATCGCCACAGAAGAAGCGACAAGCACAAGACATCCCGCAAACTGTAAATATGAAACAAAAGCGTAAAGCCCGCACCGCCGCCCCAGCATCCAATGCCGCAGGTCCCCTAAGGGGAATCACACAGGCACCACGGCAAAACGACTGAGGATGAACAGAGCAAGCCGCATGCCAAACCGCTCGCGAAGACGAGGATGGGCAAGCACGCTCCACGTAGTGTACCCTGCATTCACCGATGAGGAGCATCTTGAAGAAAATACCCAAACACCAGCGCTCAAGCCAGCGCACGTATGGTACAGCCCTAAAGCATCGCGACGCAGGCAGCTAGCTCGACTGAACAAAAGCCGGCCCGAATCAGGCTCCGACTGATTAGAATTTCTGTTTTTACACCTTTGTGGGTCTCTGTCTGGCGGAAACCACCCGTCAGCACCCACAGCGAACCTCTTATGAGGTGCTCGCTCACTGTTGTGCTGCCAGCCTCTGGTTTCACACAGCTGCTGGAGCAGCGAGGGGTGTTGCGTGATTGCTGAGCCGTTGTTCAGCGTGGCTCACCGGTTGTTCGCCCTACGTTCTCTTTGTTTCCCCCAGGGGGACTCACCCTACCCCAGTGGTGTATGTGGGTAGCTTCGCGGATGTAAAAAAAGGAGGAGGAGGAGGAGCAGGAGGAGGAGGAGGAAGAGGAGGACGAGGACGAGGAGGCGGAGGGGAAAGAGGCGGAGAAGGAGGAGGAGCGACGAGAAGGAGGCCTGCATGACCGCGTCCGTCGTTGTCGTCTCCAGCGAAGGGCTGCCCACGACCGCGCGCGCCCGAGCGCGCGCGGGCTGACATGGCGCGGCTGTCCTCGAGGCCGCGCCCAGTGACCCCACGCCGGAGCGCTGCACCTTCGGGGCGTGGCTGCTGCTGGCTCGTGCGTGAACCCAAGCATAAACCAAGGCCACAAAGTGGAAACAAAGATGACGACGACGACGACGACGACGACGACGACGACGAGGACGACGACGACGACGCCGCGGCCGCGGAGGCAGCGGCGGCCGCGGCGGCCACGGCGACGGCGACGGCGACAGCGACGGCGACGGCAACGGCGACGGCGACGGCGACGGTCCACAACTACACATTTTGAATACTACCCCCCTCTCTCCCCTGACCCTGCGCAAAAGATCTCCAGCTCTCTCCGCGTATTGTTTTTTGCCGCACACACACAAGATTTCAGAAATACTCTCGCCCCAGCGCGGGCTACTTTTTTGGATCCGTGCCCCGTTTCATCGTTGTCGCGCCCCTCATTTATCCTCCTCCGCCTTCCCCTGGTCGTCCTGCTCCTCCCACTCGTTCCACTGCAGTTCCTGCTGCTGCTGCTGTTCGTCCTCGTCCTACTTCCTCGTCCTCGCCCTCTTGCTCACCGGCCACCTCCTCCCCCTCCTCCTCTTCCTCCTCCTCCTGCTCCTCCTCCTCCTCCCCGCCTCGTCCTCCTCCGCCTCCTTCTCATATGTCGCAGCTCTCTGTTTCCGATTGCGCATAACACGATGGGGCCAGTTTTTTGGAGTTTCAAGTCGGCAATAACTTCTTCAAGCCAGCGGGCGTCACGTGGTCCAAGACAGCCCACCTCGGGTCCACAAGCGACGGGGTGCACCCGAGGCGAATTGAGGCACGGCGCGGGACGGAACATAGCG